CCACCCACCCCCCGACTCCGGCCTCCCGCGGTGACTCCCAGGCTGGGCACCCGCCTGGAGGTGAGCCCGGTGGTTCCGGGCAGGTCTGAGCTCTAGCGTCCCTCCCCTACTGGACGGGGACCGGGGATCGAGAGGTCCCGCCTAGGCCCTGGGGGTCACCCTCTGCTCAGAGTGCCCCGAGGCTGCCTGGCTCGCCTGGCTCCGCTCACCAGCAGGTCCTTCTTGGTGCCCACGAGGAACAGAAAGCAGGCGCCCGGCTCGTTCTCCCTCAGCGCGTCCTCCAGCCACTGCCTGGAAGGCGGGCGACAGGCTGGGATGGACCCACCCCACACTGAGCAGACGAGGGAGCCCGGGGCCCCCAGGGCCGGGGGCAGGGGAAGTGGACTGCGCCGCCCGAGGGTGGGGACGCAGGAGCAGCAGGGAGTCAGTGAGCCCTGTGGCGTCCCGCACCCTGGGTCCGTCCCGCGCCGCCACCCACAGGAGTGACCAGCCCGGCTCCCCTCACAGGGCTGCAGACGCAGCTGTGAACGCCCCAAACCAAAGTCAGGGGCGGGGGACTCCGGCCCGTCAGCCAATGACCCCTGGCTCTCGCCCAGATCTCTGCCCAGGTGTGTCCCACGCCTGGGGCCCAGGAGCGGTGAGGACCCCAGGCCCTTCCCCCCCAAACTGGGAAGGCTCTCAAGCTGAACCCTGCAGTCAATGTGGGCCGCTCTGCACTGGCCGAGGGGCTGGCCGGCCCTGCCTTCTGCGGCGGCTGCGTATCTTGAGGGATAGAATGGCAGCTGCACCGTCGCTGGCCCATGGGCAGCTAGTGCTGGCCGGCCTGCCTGGTCTCTTGCACGCACCGTTGGGCTCCAGCTCGTGGCCCAGGTTTGGGGAGCCCACGGGGGCTGCCGAGCCTGGACTTGCCTGGCGTGCTCCAGGGTCTGCACGTCGGTGAGGTCAAAGGCTGTGATGATCACTGTGCACAGGGGGGAAGCTGGTGAGTGACGGGGAGGCAAAGACGGTGTGACAAGGGGCCTCCCTCCCACAGAACTGTTCCGGGGGGCCCCTGAGGCACGCAGCCCTGGACCCGTGACATGGGGACCCAGCAGCCCGGCCACAGTGGGGTCCAGGGAGGCAAGGTGAGCCCCCTGCCCCAGATTTTCTCTGCCTCGACGGGTGTGGGGCGCACAATGGAAGCCTGGACCGCTGAGAGGTCAAGCCACCTCCCCGGCCATGACCCAGTGGGGACCGGCCACAGCCACCTCGGGCGCTCAGGGTGGCCCAGGGGATTAAGCTGGAGCAGCGGTGGGAAAGCTCTTGGCCCGACTTCCCACCATTGGCAGCTGGGGCAGAACGGCCGATGAGCAACAAGCGGCGTCAGGGGCCCGTGGCAGAGAGGCAGGCTCGGGGCCGGGGGGACGCCTGGTGATGAGCTCCCCGCCCCTCGGCTCCTCCGTCACTGCCCTGCCTGCTCCCACGTGCCCTGGGTGGCCACGCACGGAGATCGAGATCATTCCAGGAGGGCAGGACGCGGGCCGTGGTGGTGACCGAGGCCGGGCGGCTGCCTGCCGGGCTTCGTCCCCGGGGGCGGGGGGCGCACACCAGCCCCCGACCCCGAGAAGAGGCCACAGTGGACGTGGCAGAGTCATTATTCCAAAGCACGGCTCCCTGGTTTTGCTCTTCTCCAGCCTCAGTGAAAACGCGACTTCCGACAGCAGCACGGCATGGATGCAGCTGTGCCTCATCGCCTGAGTCTGGTCGGGACGCCTGCGACCCCGGGCCCCCACCTCCCACAGGAACCCCTCTCCCTCGTCTTCCTGGTCTCGGGAGGGGACTATGTTGCCACCGCCTGCTGCCCGGGAGGCCTGCCCGTGCTGGGGTGCCCTCAGCATGGAGGCAGTGGGCAAGGAGCCCCACTGGCCTCCACGGTGTGTGTGTGGGGGGGGGTGGGCACCTCCTCTTCTCCCCTCCGGCCAAGCCTCGGCCCCTGCCCTTGAGCCGACTCCACTCTTCTCTGCGGGGTCTCCGCCCAAACAGTCCTCACCCTGAGCATCTTTCTGAGCTGAAACTGGGGCTGAGACCTTCAGGGAGCACGCGCCACCCCAAGGTCCCCTAGAGCGTGTGGCGGGGGAGGCCCGCCCAGGCCCGGCTGGAAGGCCAGGACCGCCCCCGCCCCGTGCTTCCTCAGCGGCTCTCAGAGGACCCGGCTTCTCACGGCAAGCCCGGCGGGGAATTCACGGGGATCCCCCAGCTGGACGTGGTTGAGGCCCTGCCAGCCACTCACCCTGGGCACCCCGGTAGTAGGCGGATGCGATGCACTTGAACTTCTCCTGCCCTGCCGTGTCCCAGCTGTGCCGTGGCCAAAAGAGGCAGGGAGACCGAGAGGCGGCCCGTTTAGCTATGCTTGTGGGGTCTCAACCAGCAGGCTCGTGCGGACCCCCGGTGGGAGACCCAGAGCCCTTCCCAGCAGCATGGGCATTGGGAAGTGCCTGTTGCCAGCCCCCACCTGCTCTGGATCCCTTCCTAGGGTGCGCCCTCCGTGGGGCAGGGAGAAGACAGACGGAGCAGGGGTGGGGGAATGTCCAGCCCCAGGAAGGCCTGGGGGCTACATGACCTCCGCTAGAGCCTCGCAGGCAGGGACCAGTTTTGGCCCCGTTTTCCAGGCGTGAACAGCGGCTCAGAGGCCTGAAGTTACTTGCCAGAAGCCATGCCTGGCCTGGTGCACGGGATCACAGAGGGACACGAGGTGCATGGGGTAGGGGGTGTGGGCATGCCTAGGGCCTGGTTCTGTAGAAGCGGGGAACCCAGCCTCACACAGCTGGCCAAGGCCTCCTGCTCCCTTGCTGGGGCCTTCCCTGGGGTCTCCACAAAGCCCACCCACGACCACTGGGAGACTCGCAGGCAGCCGCCAGCGACTTACATCTGGAGGCTGAAGGGGGTCCCAGCGACCTCAAAGCGCTCGATCTCAAAGTCCACCCCAATGGTGGCCTTGTAGTCATGGTTGAAGACATTCTTGCAGAACCTGTGGAACCCAGAAGCTGTCAGAGGCCACGTGTGGAGGCGGCAGGCCACGGGAAGTCCGCCCGCACGGGGAGACCAGGTGACGATGGCCATGGAGATGGGCCATGGGGACAGGCCACAGGCAGATGGAGCCGCCAGTGAGAGCTCCATGGGCAGAGGCTGCCACAGCTGGAGGCCACAAGTAGGGGTCAGGATGGGGAGAGGCCCTGTGCCCGCCGGCAGGGAGGGCGGTGGGGCTGTGGAACACAGGGCCCCGGGGACCGCCTGACCATCGCCAGGCTCCCGGGAGGCCGCACTCTCTGCACGCCTGCCGTCTCCCCAATTTCCTGCACCCCCTCCCAGCGGCCACACGGTCTCTGCTGTGACCTGGGACTGGGCCTCCCAGGCAGGCCCAACAGCGGTGCCGGGAGGGGGTGGCTGGCCGCGCACCTGTGGATGAGGCAGGTCTTGCCCACGTAGAGATCGCCGACCACCACCACCTTGGAGAGTCTGAGCCTGAGGGGCATGGTGTGATCTCACAGGTGTGGTCACGAGGGCATCCTCACACACACGGGCCCCTTCTCCCCTGCAGTCCTCACTCGAGACGGGGACAGGCCACCCGTGAGACACTCTGCGGCGTGCCCCCCTCACTGGCCCAGGGGAAGGGCGGAGGGCCTGCCTTTGTTCTGGGGCCTCCCTACCCCTGACCCCACCAGGCCCATGTCCCAGTCGTGAGAATCAGAAATGTGCACCACAGAAGGCTGAGGGGTAGGCGAGGTGGGGACTCAGAGGCGGCCCTGGGGCCCCGACACTAAGGCTGAAGCCCGAGGGAACGGCCGCGCTCAGACCTCAGGCACCAGCCTCCCCAGGGGCAGAGATGTTCCTGCATCAGGTGAGGCGGGATGACCGGCCCAATGGTCCCTGGGGGTCTGCTGTCCGAGGCCCGCGTCTGCCTCCACACACTCAGGCGTGCGCTGAGCTCTCCCCAGCCTCCCCCGCGGAGACAGCGCTCACCCTACGGTCCCTGTGTTCCCGCGCTGGCAGGCGGCGCTGACCTGCCCGTGGAAGTGCTCCCGGAGCTGCAGGCAGGCGGCGGGCGTGTACCACTGCAGACAGACAGACGGACAGGCGGGCATGTCCCCCCGCGGAGCTTCCGGGCAGGAGCTGGTGGCTTACTTCCCAGGGTCCCCTCCGTCCCCTCCCAAGCCTCTGTCACGGCCGTCCTTGTCAGCACCTCACGAGGCTCCAGGGCTCTGACATGCCAGGGAGCCCAGGCAGGGACCCAGAGAGCTGGGTCTTGTCGGGGGAGGGGAGCTGTGTCACTGCTGTGGGCATGTCACACCTCTGTCCCCTCCGGTGAGACGAGGGGTGGGCTGTAAGGACCCTTTTAGCACCAAGACCCTCCTACACTTTCTACTACGAATCTCTGATGCTGTTTTCATTTTTAAAAAAATATGCCTATTCGTGCATGGAAAACATCCTTAAAAGCACTTGGGTCATCCACGTTTTTCAGAAGGCAGGACCAAATAGTGGCCCAGGAGCACGGACCCTCAGGCGCTGTGTGACCCTGGGCAGTTGGCTCACGTCTCTGAACTTCAATTTCTACATCTGGAAACCCTCCAAGACTTGGGGGCGTGAATGAGGTCGTGTTTGTAAAGCCGCCAGCGCAGAGCCGGCCTGGCACATGCATACTGGGTGCTCAGCAAAGACGCCCTGACACTCGGGGAATGCACGTTTGTTCTATAGGCTGAAAAAAAAAGTCATATTAAACAAACGGAAAGTGAAACAAAGTGACAGTCGCTCAGTCGTCTCCGACCCTTTTTGCTAACCCCGTGGCCTGTGGAGTCTCCCAGGCGCCTCTGTCCGAGGAATCCTCCAGGCAAGAATAGCCATTCCCTTTCTCCAGGAGATCTTCCCGACCCAGGAGTCGAAGCCGGGTCTCCCGCATTGCAGGCAGATTGTTTACCCGCTGAGCCCCAAGCGAAGCCCAAACGAACGGAACGTGACCATTCGGTTTTGCGGTCAGATTGGCCGAGGCTGAGTGTGAGGCGTGGCCGGGGCCTGGGCGGAGCCTCGCTGCAGACGGCGGCTGTGCTTTGCGGTCCGATTGGCCGAGGCTGTGGGGGGGCGTGGCCGGGACGTGGGCGGAATCTCGATGGGTTCCGCAGCTGTGCTCCGCTGCGTCCCCAGCCACCTCCCTCCGTGGCCCGTGGCCCTCGGCTCTCTGCCCTGGCCCACCTGCCCTCTCGGCCCCGTGTGGCCGCACCAGGGCAGCGAGGAAAGTGAAGGAGCTTTGCAGAGGGCGGATGCGGGGCTTCATGGAGCCCATGTCCTCACCTGTGAGGTGGGGGCACTCTCACAGCGCCTCTTGGTCTGCGGGCTGCAGGGGCAAGCGAGCAGCTCAGGCAAGCGCTCAGCCCAGGGCCACGGCCACGCGGAGGTGGGTGGGCCCTCTTCTCCGGAAGGCTGGCAGCTTTTCTGTCCGCTTCTCTCCGTGTCGGCATCAAGTCGCGGGGGAAGCGGGGTGGGGGGGGGGGTTGCGGCGCGACCAAGACACGGCGGTGAGGAGAGAGGGCCCACCACTAATCCAAAAGCAATAAGGAATCTGGCCGTGCAGCGCGGCAGCAAGAAAGGCAGCCAAAACCCGACACAAAAAATGTAGTTCAGCCGGTGATGGTAATAAGCCAATGGAAGGACACAGCCTGGTGCCGGCCAAGAGGAAAATGGTAGAAATGTTGGGGACAGAAAGAAGAGGGGAAAAGAACAAAATAAGAACGATGCAGTGGATCCCAGATTCCTCCTAAGAGAAAAACTTTTTCAAATGTACTTTTCATGTTGTCCTGAGTAAAAGATAGGAATTTCTTCTTTTCAAGAAAACGTACAGCTGAAAAATCACTTTCAGGTTTTTTTTTTTTTTTTAAACAGTGGTAAAACTTTCTGATAGGCAATATTAATTCTATATCCCGTTGATATATAGTAGGTTAATGCATGACATGGGCTTCCTAGATGGCTCAGTGCTAAAAAATACACCTGCCCAGGCAGGAGATGCAGGTTTGATCCCTGGATCGGAAAGATCCTCTGGAATAGGAAATGGCAACCCACTCCAGTATTCTTGCCTGGAAAATTACATGGATGGAGGAGCCTGGCAGGCTACAGTCCATGGGGCCGCATAAAGTTAGAGACGACTGAGCGACTGAGCACACACTTGGGATGCAGATTAAAGAAGTGTGCTAAAGAAGGCTGGTGGGCCCTGCACGCAGGGAGACGGCACATGTGGGATGAAGGAAGGACTGGCCAGCCTGACTGCACACTGCTCAGGCCTGAAGTGCTATGGCCCCTGGGGTGCAGGATAAACCTGGCCACAAGCATATGGCAGAGAATCCCACCTTCTGTGGGAACAGGGGTGCCCCAGGCGGCTTCCCAGGGTGGGAGACAGTCAGAGCTTGGAGTCAGCCATGATCGGGTGAAGTCTGGGCTCCCCCACGCACAGCTGTGTGACCTCAGGCAGGCAGCCCTCCCTACCTCTCAGCCTTGCTGTCACACTCTGTAATTGAGGTCCTTCATCCCATGAGACCTGTGCCAGTCACCCCTCCCTTCCTTCAGCTCTTCAACCCCTTCATCCCCAGTCACTACTGACAAGGGAAGCAGTTACTGGGCCTCTGATGAGATGGAAAGTCCTGTGGGGACCAGCCACCAGTCAGAGGCACCAAGGCTTTCTCTGTGCGAGCTGGGAGGAGGCAGGAGAGGGGGAGGCAGACACTGCAGACCCCAAACACCCAGTCTGCCCTCCTTCCCCCACTGGCCTGAGCACAGATTTCAAGATTCAAAAGGGAGGATTTCTCCCGCACACAGGGCGGTGACCTGCAGGATCTCAAGCATGCTTCCAGGTACTCGGCTTGTAGAAGCAAACACGAGCGTGTCTTCTCTTCCTCGCCTTTTCTCAAATCTGGTGCTCAAGCACTTACTTTGGCCCTCATCATCATGCATCAGCCCGAGAAGTGCTCGTTTCTCCTGCGCCTGTGTCAGGAAGCAGCTAAGTGGCCCCCTCTCGAGGACATCATGTTGTGTCTGACCTGTGTTACAAACTGCTGCAGAACCTGGCCCTGAGCGGCGGCGAGCAGAGGGCAGGTGGCGCCTCTGCAGGGCTGGGAGACACTGGTCCTCCCACCCGCTTCAGGTTGTATGGATTTGTGTCCCCTGCTGTGATTAAGGATGGATTTTAATATAGCTGTGAGTTTTCAGTAGGGACAGAAGGGTAAGGGGTGAGAACCTTCGATTTAATCTCAGGAAACTGGAGGTAGTGTTCGATAATGTAATAATAATTTTAAAATATTGATTGATCTTTGGCTGGGTTGGGTCTCAGTTGCAGGCAGGATCACTGTGGCTCCACTGGGCTTAGTTGCCCCAAGGCATGTGGGATCTTAGTTCCCGGAGCAGGGATCACGCCTGTGTCCCCTGCATTGGAAGGTGAATTCTTAACTACTGGACCACCAGGGAAGCCCTGATAATGTAATAATTATACTGAGAAAAGCAGCAACCACAACCTGGGCGAGGGAGCTCCCGCTGACCATGAACCAGGCATCCAACATGAGCAGACCTGTCCTTGTGGAGCAGCAGGTCCAAGAGGTTGAGTGACTTGCCCAGGGTCACACAGCTTAATCACACGCAGGGCTCACACCACTGTCTGACTGCAAGGTCTGTGCCCTTCACCTCCACAGCACACTGCCTTCTAGGGTCACCTTTCACCTGCCGGCCCACCTTGGGTAAGTCAATGCCAAGCTTCTCAAGAAGTCTGCTGAGTCCCTAGGGTCTATCAGCGAGGGACTGACCTGCCTTGTTTCTGGTGGTGAGCGAGGTGGGGAAAGTTGGGTGCGGGCATGCTGTCCCTGGAGCAGTGCACACATCAAGGGCTGGCCTAAGGTCTCCCTACCTTAGGGAAGCTGGTGATGACACGGTCCCGGCTCACAGAGGGCCCCAAAGGTGTCAGGGAGGGCCTCATCCTTCCAGGAATCCTGTGCCCCCAACAGGGGGAAAAGAGGGTTAGGGAGTCCCTGGGGATTCCCCAGAGTTGATGCTGAACATGGCTGTAGCTTTGAAAACAGTCCAAGCCTCCTTCTGTGTCAGGAATGTCAGGGGCCATCTCCCCAATCTGCAGGCAGTGTGTGCTGGGGGCAGGGGAGACAGGCCTGCGGCCCGGCCTGGGAGAGCTGGAGCCCTGGGTCTCCCGCCAGGTGTCCCGCCAGGAGTGGCCCCTCCCTGAGCTCAGCGCTGGGCTCTGAGTGACTGCGGCAGCGCAGGGACCCACAGTCCTGGCCAGGAGGTAGAGTGGGGAGGAGCCCCCGCTCCTGGCCTCTAAGGGATGAAGGCTCTGGCTGCGCCGAGCCGTAGCATTCAGCGCACAACCCTTTCCCAGGAGCACCCAACCCGGCGCTGGGCCCCTCCCGCCGATATCCACGGCCCGCGTCTCCTCCTCCCGATCCGCGCCCTCCCCACTGAGTGTCCTCGACCGAGGCCTGTAGTCCTCCGCATCGGAACTTCCGTCTCCAGACCAGCCCTTGGGGTCCGGGGTGGGCGGTCAGGAAATGAGGAGGCCCGGGGGCCCTGGCCGAGTTCAGATCGTGCGGTGGGAGGGTACCACGCGGGCTGGCGAGGGTGACACCCAAGGGGAGTCTGACTGACCTGCGGCCGCTGACACAGCTCCTGGCGCTGCCTAGTCCGCGATCACCATGGTAACGAGCACCACGCCGGACCGGCCTGCTTCAGGCGAATCCCGGACGCTGGGGGCGGGGCTTACAGCCAAAATAGTCCCTCCCCGGTGCCCTGCGCCGCGATCACCATAGCAACCAAAGCCTCGCGGGAGACTCCGGGACGCCGATCCAGAGCGGCGACCATCAAGGCAACGAGGGCGGCGGGGGGGAGGGTGGGGGGCGCTGATGGGCGGGGTCAGGGCGGCCAGGGGTGGGCCTGGGCGGGGCTGACCGTGGAGAGACTTGCGCTCCTGACTTCCTGACGTCACCGTGGTAGGGAGGAGATCAAGTGTTTATTTTCTTAATATGTCAGATATGATTTTTTCCTGGTTATCTAAATATTTGTGTGCTTTGCTTTATATCTGGTATGAGATCCCTCGACTCCTTCTCATTACATCTCATGTTTGATCTATCAGTAAATCCTGTAGGTTCTACCCTGAAAAATTGACCAGAATCTTCTCTCTCCGTCTCACTTTCACTGAGCCCACGATGGTCCCAACCATCATCGTCTCCTCTCCCCTTAACTGGCCTCCCCACCTTCCATCCTCGCTCCTACCCTCTTCCCAGTTCAGCAGTCCCCAGGGACCCCTGGTTAAGAACACAGATCAGATCATGTCAGTCCTCTGCTGCAAACCCTCCAATGCCTCCTCCTCGCCCTCCGAGTAATAAAGTCTTTCCAGTAGCCCAAGAGGTCCCACGTGATTTGCCCCATTTCTTCTCTTAGCTCGCCCCCTACTGCTTCCCGCCTCCCCTCCCCCACACACTCCATTGGCCTCCTTGCTGTTCCTCCAACACACCAGGCACCAGGGATGCTTGCTCTGCCTGTCTCCTAGGCCTGGAATGCCCTGTCCCCAGACAGCCACGTTGCTCAGATGTCACCTCTAGATGAGACACCCTATTTACAAAAGCTACATCCTTCCAGCCCCTTCTTCTGCTCTATTTCTCCCAGGCACTTCCTATATTCTAACAGATTATGTAACTTGCGGTTCGTGCGGACTGTCTGTCTCCCTCCATTGAGCGCAGTGAGAGCAGGGGTTCAGCCTCTCAGCTGACTGCTTCGGCAAAATGCCTGCACGTAAGCAGCATGCAGTGAATGTTACAAGAGTGAACTGAATATTGCACTTAAGAAAGGAAGGTGGAGAACACTGTTTGAAGTGTGCTGCCATTACATTGAAAGGCAGATAAACTGTATTTCCTTGTATCAGTTTAGTGGATCGCTGGAAAGACTCCAGTGGGTCATACAGATACTTTATGTGCACATATCATCTATTTGGTAAATAACTCAAATGAAGAGAAAAATTTGGAACTCAGAGAGTACAATAGCAGCCTCCATCTGGGCCCTTTTGGGTCAGCCCTGGATTTCAGGGTGCCTCGTGCCTTTCCCAGACACCTCCTCCTCTCTGTAATCATGGCTAAGGGAGGACTCCCGCTGTGGGACTGCATCTGATTGCCCTGCAGTGACAAGGGACGGACACCACCTCCCATTTCCTGACCTTCATCTGCACAGTTCTGAACCTAATGATGCCTGAATATCATAGGCTGGCTTCTAGAGCTCATGCTACAAAATTAATTTCCATAATTAATGGCTGTGTAAAGGCTGACCTGAGTCACGGAGCTTCTGTGAGCTAGTTTCTGTTTGCAGAGAGACAGGCGGGGCTCGATGGCCTCCAGAGGCGTTTGTGAGATGCTAATCACAGAAATGAGAAGGTAGCTTCGGAGAGAAGGACAAAGAAGGGAATGAGGGCACTGATGATGTTCTCATGGTGAATTCACAGGCACTTATTATATTTTTTGTCTCACAAGTGAACATATATGATACATAGAATGTCATGTGTATGTTTACAAAGATAAGAAAAAGGAGATTGAAAAACAGAAAATGGAAGGATGGTTTTTACAAAGAGACTCTGTAACCGAGCCCTGAGAGATGTAGAGTTCCCAGCTTTGAGAACCTACTTGATTCAGCTCCCTGATTTCACAGGGAAACGAAGGCTCACATGTTCCAAAGATTTGCCTAGAGAGTCAGAATTAGACCTGGAACCCAAATCTCCCAACTCCCAGCCTAGGGCTCTCCTCCACACCACCTTCATAAAGAAGCTTGGATGCTCTGGGTTAGAGACCTTCACGACTTGGTCCTTGGAAAGACAGCAGCAGGGGTGGGTCTCCATGGCACACAGATCGAGGCCAATTACCTTCGTTTCAGAGCTGAATGTGCTGGAGGTGGACGCTTGCTGCCTTTGTCAGTGGGTTTCACTGCTAAGGGCCCAGGCCTTGGGTGAACTTCCCTGGGTTGCTTAGCTTCCCCCTGTGTCTCAGTTTACCCCACTGTAAAATGGACAATAATACGTCAAGGGTTTTTTGTGAGGATCACACAAGATGGTGGAAGTACTCTGATTATGAAGCTTGACTCAAACCCATTAGCCATGCCCTTCTACACTTACTGAAACCTCCTGATATATTCCTGGAACTGGTGGGGCTGGGGCCGGATGGGGGCTGTGCTGTGGAGCAGGGGGATGGAACCTGGCCCGATGAGGGCTCCAGCCTCAGGGAAGTCTGCTGGGGGAAACAGGTAAGCAGAGAATCAGAAGACGGAAGCACGCACTGGGGTAACTGAGCTCTAGGATCACTTGCTAATTTGGGGAGACGCTGGGCTTCCTGGGGAAGGGTACGCCGAGCTGGGCCCTGAAGGACCAAGAGGTGGCTAGCGTCACTAGCAGCCCAGCTGCAGGAAAGAGTTAGCATTTGGGGGAGTCAGACTCCAGCATAGGTGGAGGAGGCCATCACCCAGGGCCTCCAGTGGCAGAGCCTGGACTCTGTCCTGAGACCAGCGGGGAGCCCTGGGAGGGCTTGGTGGAGGCGACGGCTCAGTCTGGCTCGCTTTCAAGAATAACTGCTCCGGCCAGCAGTGCGTGGAACCCACTGCAGGGTCCGACCTGCGTCCTCAGGAGCCAGTCAGCTTGCCGAGGAAGGAGCCGAGGCTAGGGCTAAGCAGTCCTGGGATCAGGACTTTGTGATTCGGGGAAAGCTGCTGAACCTCTTTGAGATGCTTGTCCGTAAAATAAGAGAGTGCAACACCTCTCAGGCTTACGCTGAGAATTAAAGGCGTGCCAAGTGCCCAGTACAGAGAAAGGCGCACACAATCTCTTGCCTTCCTTTCTGCACTACGAGCAAAGCTGAGCCCGCCACTGCTCCCCGCCCAGTAACCCCTGAAAACACCAACCCGACTGAACAGCCGGCCCTGGCCTGGGGCTGTTCGCGCCTGCGCGGTGGGCGCCCGGCTGTGCGGAAAGCTGCCTGGCGGACGCAGCCCTGGGTCGCCTGGCAACCGGGTTGCCTGGCAACGGGCGAGTGCTACAGAAACTCACGCGCTGAGGCAGGTGAGCCGGCGGCCGCAGCCTGGGGCCCCGGGGACAGGGGCTCCCCCAGACTCACTCCCCCAGGACCGATCAACAGGGCCCGTGCCCCTTAGGAGGCGGCAGGCGCCCAGCGTTTCCTGCCCGGGGAGCCCCGATCCCAAATGGCCCGGTCCCACCTCCTCTTCCATCCCCACCTCCTTGCCTCCTTCCTTAATTACCTGCTGCCCGGAATCGAGGGTCCAGTTCACCACCTCTCTTAGTGGAGTGGATTCGCACAGGGTTAGGGTTAGGCTGGGGCTTATCACTGCCAACGAAACGCAGTCACGACCGCCATCAGCAGCATAGTAAGGGCCGCCAGAGTGTCCCGCGCCCCGGCGAGCTGTGCTCCGTTCTCGGGGAGTGTGCCAGCTCTGGTCGGGGGGTGGTGTGGGGTTGGGGTGGAGGACATTATCGTCTCCCTTTCGAGCTGCTTGTTAAGGGCCATCCATTGACTTGGGTCTGGAGCCCATTTTTAACTACTCAGCCACACTGCTTACAGTTGTTCCAAGTGTGTGTGTAATAAAAAATAAATCACACTTCAACCTTGATTCCTTCTCTGCGGATGTGCTGGAGGCATCCGACTGTGGGTCCCTGATGGGTGAATGTCCCAGACCTGGGTTAGAACATTGGCTCCTAGCCTAACTCATGACCTCCAAGGCTCCTTGTCCTGAAACCTCAATTTTCTCCTGGGTCATAGAACTCCCTGCCTCCTCCTGGGGTAGCTGAGTTGCATATTAGGTATTGCTGGCACAAGATAAGCTCTAAATGGAGCTGTTCTATCAGTGTGTGCTTGTTTGTCTTAGTTTGTCTTTTTCTTTTTTTAAATTCATTTTCATTGGAGCATACTCGATTTGCAACGCTGTACTCGTTTCTGCAAAGTGAATCAGTTACACACGTACCCACTTTTTTTAGATTCTTTTCTCATATAGGTCATTTCAGAGTATTGAGTAAACTTCCCTGTGCTGAAGTCCTCATTAGTTATGTTTTATACATAGTGGTGCATATACATCAGTCCCAATCTCCCAATTCATCCACTGCCCCCACCCACCCCCCCACCAGTTTGCTTTTTTCAATGCCTTTGTCCTGCGGCCCAGTCTATACAGTAATCGGGAGAACTCTGGCGTTTGTGGTCTGGGCTGCCAGTCACCTTCGCTGTGACCTTGAACCAACTCCTTCACTGCTCCTGGTCTCAGTTTGCTCATCTGTAAAATGGAAGTTAAAAAATGCCAGGCCACAGTAGCAATGATGACAACGTCTGGGTTCTTTTAACCAGCGGTCCCCTCCGAGCTTCACTCTGAAAGCTCCCGAGTCACCCCGAGCAGGTGTGGGACGATGGCGGACGCCAGGATCTCCACGTACCTGCCCCCCAACGTCAACCCCGCCCAGGCGGCCATTGCCTACGGCTGCCGCGCGCTGCCCAAGCTGAACGAGGAGCTGCAGGCGGACGACCTGCTGACGAGGCAGAAAGCCCTCATGGCTCTCTGTGACCTCATGCACGACCCCGAGCACGTCTACACGGCCATTAGGATCGGTGAGCATGTCGCAGCCCAAGGGACCACGACTGGGGTCTGGATGGACGGACGCAGAGCAGCCGGAGGCGGGGGGTGGGGAGGGGAGCTGACCTGGCCCCTTCACAGCAGCCCTCCCGACCAGTCAGCCGGTCCTCAGCT